AAAAAATTTGGAAGTTTGTACTAATGAAATTACCAACTTGTTAGTAACTTCATCATTTTACTTGAAAAAAAATGGTAGTTTGTACTAATGAAAAGTTAATGTCATAATCAGAACCCACTAGAACAAATTTAGCCATCGCAATTTTGTGATGGTTCTGGTTTGGCAGCTTCATGGGGAATAAAATAATTATAAAATGGTAGATGATAATGGGCCAGTAAAGAAAATGATGTTGGACCCACTAGTTTTGAAACTCTAATCTCTAGTTTTGGACCAAATCCCTCAATTTACGTATGGAAGTAGTAAATCAACTCTCTTTAAATTAATTTTTTTATTTTACATTAAAAATTTTAGAAATACTTTGCTTCATATTCCCAAAAGTACTCCAAAAATATTCATCCAAATTAAGTAACTTAATTATTTTCATCTTTATTTTTGTTTTTATAATCCCCACAAAAATGGAAATTTTTTTTAAAAAAAATTTATCTGGTTCTACAAAATAAATATTTTTAAGAAAGGGAGGAAATATAAGGTGGGGCTCCGTTCCGTACACAAAATTAATTTGCTTTCAACTTTCAATTTTTTATTTTTCTTTTTCGGTTTAACGAATGACGTTATGGTCTCAGTTAGCCGTCGATCTTTGACTCTCCTGACCCCGGAAATGACGGTCCAGATCTAACCAACACCGCCTTAAGTGTTTGGACGGCATTGGTTGGCCACCCCTTTTCTTCTTTTGGGAAAAAAAAATTTACACCAACATAAAACCCCAAGAAAGTTAAATCATTACAGCAATTTAGCTCTTATTTTTTTACTTTTTCGACCATTGAGACCCCCAACTACTAAACTTGGGGAAACAAACCCCAAAGTGAGTATTGAAGATCATGTCATGTGTTGCATGAGTGCACATTACTAATATTGTAACTACTATAGTACCATTTATCCTAACAATCTTAGGATTTTATAGAAAGAACATAATAAAACTAAAAAGTTATTTAAAATATGAGATTTTTCTAATATAAAAATATGTACAATAAGAGTTTTCTTATATTGTTTTCTTTAAAAATAAAATAAAAATAGAATTTTAATCTATTAGAGTGTTCTAAAAGAGAACTCTGTTCTTTGCACAAAACTCTACAAAACTTCATCCTTTGCTTACTTTTTTTAAAAAAAATTATTGTTTGGTATTTTGACCTAAGTGCATGACCAGATAACATGTCAAGTGATTTATAATTTTTCTTTAAATTGTTGGATCATCCAACATTGACAATTTTTTTTGAAAACTTTTAATTCAAATCTTTTTATTTAAAGTGACTTAAATAAAATAATATTAATACAAAATTTGAAGAAATTCTATTTAGATATATGCATTAGAGAACAATTATTTTGTTAGGTATTTTATTTTAGAATTAGATATTTAAAATTTAAATTTACATAAAATAATATTAATTATAATGATATGGTACTAAAATTAGCTTTTATAATATTTTCCATTGAACATGCTCTAAGAAGGAAAAAAACATATATGTTTAGAATTTAAAAGACCATTAGTCACCTAAAAAGTTTAATGGCTCAATTGGTGAAAATGAAAAAATTTGAGGTGTTAATTTGATCTATTTGGCAGTTTCTTTTTAGTTCTATTTCCTTATCTTTTTTCAAGAATTGAAGTAAAATAGTACTCTAATAAAGAAAATAATACTAAAATGAAAGGATTAGACATATATAGCTTCTTCTGCATTGGATCTTTCACAAGCGTGTCTGCGTCCTCCGCTCTGCTCCCTTACGTTTCTCTCTCTAAAAAAAGAAAGAACTTCTACTGTTCGCAACTCTGAAGAACAAAAGAATCAAAGAGGAGGAGGAAGAAGAAGAGGAAAAAGAAGAGGTAGAAAAGGAATTAAATTACGTGATCATTGAGATTAAACATATTCAGTTTTTTCAGTTTTTTTTTTTTTTTTGGCGTTTTTCTTTTAAGTTTTCATCTGGGGAAGAAGGTGGGTTTATCATTCTCTGAATATCTTATTTTTGTCCTTGAATAAATTGGGCTTGAAAAATATAAAGGAGTTTACTTTTTCTTTTTCTTTTTTCATGGGTCTTTGTTTCAAATGATTATTCCTATTTTTCCTGTATTTTACTAATTTTTTGGTGATTTATTAGGTGAATTGATTATTCCTTTTTGGGTTCTAATACTCTTCTGATTGAAAGTTTAGGATTTATGTGAAGAAATGGGGAAGTGAGTTTGATATTTGTTTTACAATCATCATCCGTTTGGATAATTGTAAGGTGATCAGCTTTTTGAGCCCTTAAATCACGGTGAAAGAGTCCCTTTTTATAATTTTAGAAAAGAAGAGAAAGAAAGCAAGGGATTTTGTGGAGAATATTTCAAACAAAAATTTTGTCCTTAAAAACAGACCCACTTTTGTTGGGATGAAGAAATAGTGGGCATTTGATCCCTTTGGGTTCCTTTTTTGCTCTTCTTTCTTCTTATTGTTTATGGCTATTGGCCTCGAGAAATCATCAAGGGACTCTCTTTATGAGAATGGTTTATCAATTGATAACAAAGGTGTTTTACCCTGCCCCTCACTATATTAGTTGATTCTCTTACAAGGTTGAAGAATTTCCCCGGTTTCTTGTTTTGGCCACCTAAAAGAAAGCAGTTTTTGTATAAAAGTATGTATCTGATTGAATGAATTGAGTCTTGATTGATAAGGATTCAGATTTTCAATTGGGTTTTTGGGTTCTTGTTATGGATATGCATGTTCTTGTTCCTCTTCTCCATTCACAGCACTGTTTTCATTTTTGTTCATACATTATTTTTCTGTTTTTATTGCATGCTATTAGAAGCAGTGATTAACCGATCATATTCCTTACCTTTAATTGCTTCATCACTGTTTGGCACTTGTATGTTAGCAAGTAGATTTTTTGAGGTGAAAAAATTGATTTGAAATAACTCAACCTAACTTGGAGGTCCAAGGTGGAGCTGTTGCAAGTTGCAGCTTTAAACATACAGCCTGTCCGTTCCAGCGATTGATTACTGTTATGTTATTTCTATAGAGCTATAAACTTAAAACTAAATAATTACAGGTTTTGAATTTATGTTTATATATGGCATGGGGATGAAATTTTTATCTGAGTTTAATGTATGAATACTTACATTGTTTCTGGTACGATTAAGCTGTTTTAAGCCAGGCTGATGGTTAAATAAACTTAGTTTCTCATTGATGTTGTCCCATGCCAAATATATTCTCATATTTTTGTCATAGAATGTGTATAATGTGTGCTTCCAAGTTTTGTTAAGTGGGTTTCCCAATTCAGGTTATGGGCCAGTGGAAGGCTTATTCACATGTTAAATGATAAAATTATTAATTTTCTGTTGCAGATATAAGTAATTCCTGCAAGATACATGGATGAATATTCTGGAAAAAGAGCTGTTGAGGGGCTTGTTGTCCCTAGAAAGGGAGCTGGTCTCATCTTGAAAGAAACGGTCAATAACAAAGAGCGAAATGCTCAAATTTGCAGCCGAATTGGATGCAGCAGTAGGCTGAACTCTGTGAAAGGTACCCAAATTGGCTCAGAAAAAGCCAAATCCACAAGGCCTTCTTACCGCTCTCTGTCAAGTGGCAAAGAAATAATTGGAAGTTCCTCTAGGACTTGTGCTGCAGTGAACAGTGCTAGAAAATCTTCAATAAATCCACCAAAAAAACTATCTTCTCATCTGGAGACAGATTCCTTAGAAAGTAGTAGTGTTCAGGATGAGCCGGAAGTTTCAGAGCTCATACACTCACCTGGAAAGATTCATAGAAGGCTTCATGCTGAATCTGAAGATGCCAATTCTAGTGAAGCTGCAGTGGTTGAGGCAGGGAGCTCTAGCATAGCATCAAACTCTAGATCTAGGAGAAATTTTCATCAAAGATCTGGATTGGGCAACCAAGATAGTTTAGCCAGTTCATCCGCTTCTTTGGCATCTAGAAGTACCAGTCAGCCCATGCGTGGTAATGGAAGCAGGTATGGTTTGAAAAATCTAAGATGTAACTCAATTTCTGATGTTGTCCCATCTGGTTGTTCATCATCTGATTCAAACAACAGTAAAAGGAAGGACGTAATCAACAAGAGAAACTCTGATGGAGAGAGTAGTTCATCCTCTAGAGGGAAGAAGATAAGTGGCTCATTGTTGGAACGACGAAATAACAGTTCTACCCATAACATTTCTGCTTCTGACTCTAGGCGAGCAAGAAATTGGCCTCTTATCAGGGATAGTGCTGTTGCTTCGGTTAGGACTAGGAGACCAAGCAGTAGTTATGGCAGGATGAGACTTCCCAATCAAGGAAATGGAAACACAAATAGTTTATCATCACATGAATCAACTGCAATCATCCCACAAGCGCCTCAATCTGAAATATCACTTGACTTGAATGCTCCTATTTCTGCAGAAACTGCATTGAGTCATGTTAGTTCTTTCAATTGCCCTGGTGGCAGCAGTGAGAATTTACACAATGTTATGCCATCTAGTCCTTCAAGAGTTGGCATTACCCGCTCTGTAATGAATCGGGATGGCTTCCGGCGTTACAACATGGATGGGATTGCAGAGGTGTGAGCTTATGCCTTTTATTATTATTATTTTTCACATTTTCTCTGTGGAAGTCAAAAGAAAATGAGTGTTTTTGGATGCTGCAGATGTCTTTCATCACATGATTATCAAATCATGCCATGTTTAAGAGTTCTGTTTGGATAAGAAAGATAGAGCGGTGTTGATTTTTTTCACAATTGTTGTTCATCGAAGCTTAATCTGTCATACTTATTCTTTGCAGGTACTGCTAGCACTTGAGAGAATTGAACAAGATGAAGAGCTGACCTATGAGGTAGTTATCGGTTGAATTTTGAGGCAACTCATTTAATCTAAGATTGTTTTTGACCTGGTTTCTTTATCTTGCAGCAATTAGTTGTTCTAGAGACCAGTTTGCTCCTTAATGGCCTAAACTTCTATGATCAGCACCGAGACATGAGATTGGATATAGATAACATGTCGTATGAGGTTTGTTTACATATTCTGTCTTCTAATTGTGTCTTTTTTGGTTTGTTTTCAATTCAAGATTGACTGTGATATGTATTCTTTTCTAGCTGTTCCTGTGTAACCACATTTTGCTGCTACTCTGATAGGAATTGTTAGCTCTAGAAGAGAGGATGGGTTCTGTGAGCACTGCTCTACCAGAAGAAGCATTGTCAAAATGCCTTACAACAAGCATCTACGAGTCAGCACCTGAAGAGGATGCAACTATTGACTGTGGAGGAGATAAGGATGACACAAAATGCAGTATTTGTCAGGTAGTTTTCTATATGATTGTCCAGAGTAAAAAAGGTTTATTCTTTATTTATCTGCTGTTTTCTCTGAAAGTGACTTTCGTATATTTTTTTTCAAATTTGATGCCAATGGTAGACAACTTTGACGTGGGAATGCATTTGTCCTAATTCTATATCTTTGGCCCAAATGATTCACTGAGACCGAGAGGATCTTTTTATTCATTTATTTTGGGGGTGGGGTATATTCTGAACCAGATGTGGTTGGATGATAGTGCACACCAAATAGACAAGTGGTCTTCAAATAATTAGTTAATCTATTTATGGGATTTCAAGTTTTTACTTCTGGGTGTTTTAGTTTGGAAACTATACTTCCTGAGTTAATTGCAATTGAATTGGATGCAGTAGGCTAAACTCCATGAACGCTATGGTGTATTGTTATGTTAATCATATATATGGGGCCATCTGTGTTTTTGTAAGCTATCATGTCATAGTATGTTGATTATATAAAATATTATCCTTCACTGACCTAGCCATTGTTGCATTGGGTTTCTTGAGGATTCAGCTCTTTGATATTCCTTTTGCAGGAAGAGTATGTTGCAGGAGATGAAGTGGGAAGCCTGCAATGTGAGCATAGGTATCATGTGACATGCATACGCCAGTGGCTGCGGTTGAAGAATTGGTGCCCCATCTGCAAAGCATCAGCAGAACCTTCACCTTCATCATCATCATCCTGGGAATTCAATTGAATTATTGAATAGGATGCCAGAAACTGATTTTTATTTTGTACAAAAGTTAATGGCCCCTGTTCATCTTCTTCATTTCATCTGTTCTTGTGTACATATCAATTCTCTTTCATGTCAATAACGAATAATCAGGGCACCATTGGCTCTGCACTGGAAACTTATTGACACACAAAAATGTGAATCAAAAACATACAAATTGCTGCTCTTTTAGCATCACCGTGTACTTCTAGAACGTTTTGGGCGAGTATCAAAATTCAATATATTGTCGATGCCTGCATTATGTTGTTATTCCAGGTTTTATTTATTATTATTTATTTATTTATTTTTTGAGGCTCAAGGATGTCTCCGTGGACATGTTTGGTTAGAGTCTCATTTATTATAAAAGTTTTTATTGAAAAAGTAATTAAAAAA